ACTACAAAAATGTCATCAAAATTTGGGAGTGCCAGTAACTGTAACATTTCTTGTTGTAGAGCTTCAAACGCCAATTGGGCTTTTGCACTCCATACAAATTTATCTTTTTTTAGTAGTTGGGTTAATGGTTGAGCAATTTGACCATATCGTTTAACAAATCGTCTATAGTAACCGGCCAGCCCCAAGAAACCTCTAAGACCCTTCAAATTATGAGAAACTGGCCACTGTTGTACTGCTGTCAATTTTTGTGGGTCTGCTTTTACTCCCTCTTGCAAAACCAGATGACCCAGATACTCCAATTCCCTTTTTGCAAAAGTGCATTTTTTTTAAATTCGCACAGAAGCAATGATGTTTCAGTATTTCTAGAACCACTCGTAAGTGACCCACTTGTTGTTCCACATTCTCACTATATACCAGAATGTCATCAAAAAATACTAGGACGAACTTCTTGAGATAGGGCTTAAAAACAGTATTCATTAATGCCTGAAAAGTAGAAAGGGCATTTCTCAATCCAAAAGGCATTACGAGATATTCGTAATGTCCCTCAAGGGTACGAAAAGCAATTTTTTCTATATCCTCGACTCGCATACGGATTTGATTATAACCCGATTTGAGGTCAAACTTGGAGAAAATCTCAACCCCATTTAATTCATCCAAAAGTTCATCAATTATGGGAAGAGGAAATTTGTCAAGAATAGTTACCTTGTTCAAAGCCCTGTCATCCACGCAAAAACGCCAACTCCCATCTTTTTTCCTGACTAGGATGAGTGGGCTCGAATACGGACTGCAACTTGGCCTGATCATCCCTGCTACCAGCATTTCTTTAATGAACTTTTCGATCTCTTCCTTCTGGTAATAAGGATAGCGATATGGTCGTATGTTCGGGATTTATGCATCGGGCTTCAGCATTATCTTGTGATCATAATCCCTGGATGGTGGCAGTGCAGAGGGAAGTTGAAACACCTCTTCATACTGATGGAGCAGTTCTGAAATTTCCGGAATATCAATTAATGGATCATTTAATTCCATTAACAAATATCCCAGTTCCACGTAATACCCTTCGATACCCTTTCGCCATGAACGAGTCATCCCTTTGTATGACACCTTGCTACATGTTAGCTTCGGATCTCCCTTCAAAGTCACCATCGTCCCTTGCCACGGAATTCACAGTATCCGCTCCCTGAAATTTGCTTGGATATCTCCCAACCCGTCTAACCATGTGAACCCTAACACCAGATCTACATCTTTGAGCATGAAGACATAAAAATCTTGTGTTACTGAAAGAGTGGGTAGCTCCAACGTGACCCCTTACACATTCCCTTTCCTTGTACTTGATATCCATCCCCCACCGCTACCTCAAAAGAATCAGAATTATTTATCTGCAGTCCCACCCTCTCCACCGAGTCCTCACTGATAAAGTTATGAGAAGCTCCGGTGTCAATCAAACCAGCATCGTATGTCCCCGAATCTCACCCCAAAGTTTCAAGGAACAATTACCACACTTTGCATGTTGAGTTGGAGAACCTCGTTGGCTTCTCCCTCTTCTTCCCCCGTGTTCCGTCTCCTCCTCGGTTGTCTCCCTTGTGCTCTCGTCCAAAACCATGACGAACAACTGCGGGTTCGGGCAAACGTGACCCGGTCCAAATGGTCCATCACAGCCGAAACAAAGGTTGCGACGACGATGCTCTGCGATCTCCTCTGGTGTTAAGCGACGGAACTGATTTTCTCGGCGACCCTCCGTACCTGTGGCCAACGTTCCCCAGCGTTGCGTCGTCCCCTCTGATTCCAATCCTCCTTTCCCATTACGATTAGGGTTCCCATTGGTATTACTAGCGGCCAAAGATTGGGTCATTTGGTTTGTGTTTTGTTCGGCTGACAAATTAGGCCCATTTTCCCCCCACTTAAGTCCCCTATTGTTGTTAGTAAGGGCTGCCTTCCTTCCAAGTCCATTTCCGCTAACGGACCAAGATGCGTTACGGCCCAAATACCCTTCACTTCTGCCCATCACACGTTCCCTCTCCTCTACGCGTTGGGCAAGTAACATCATGTTGCCTAAGTCCTCTGGCGCATGTAAGCGGAGCTTCGCCCTTATCTCTGGTTTCAACCCCGTTAAGAAGGAGGCCTGCATCATCTCCTCGTTTGCATGTCTCAACGGCGCGGATAAAACCTCAAATTGATTACGGAATTCTGTCACCGTCCCTATCTGTTTCAGCTCCATCAACGACTCATATGGGTTCCCTGATGGCGAAGCATGAAAATGTTGCAGATCGCAGAACGAAATATCATCCAATCTACCAACGGATTTCGTGGTTCCCACCACTGAAACCAGCTGAGGGCCTCCCCTTCCAAGCAAATCGCAGTCGTTTCTACTTGTTCCTCCGGTGGTATTCTGTTGACTTGGAAATATCGTTCCGCGCGGAAAATCCACCCGTAAGGATCATTGCCTGTGAAATAAGGGACTTCCACCCTATGCATCCTCTCTTCGTTCCTAATTGGGCGTGTGTTTGTTTCATTCGTACTTCCATGGCGTTCACCTCCTACATCGTTTGATCCACCATGATGACCGCATCTTTCCATCTCTTGAAGCGTCCGCATTATTTCAGCAATATTCAGATCAATCTGATGAATTCCCTCTTCTGTTTCTCCCACTCTAGCCTCTAATAATTCCATTCTATGATCCATGTTTCTCGTTAGCACCATCCAAGTTTCCCGGGAAAGTGCTTTGATACCAAATATTGGCACCAGAAAGAAAATGACAAAGTACACAAGCGCCAATGATCCAAATAACAACAAGAATACAAATGACACTGAATTCACACTTTTATTAATGGATAACCAAACTATCTCACCACCGTGAAAATAGCTTGTGACAGTACAAGGAAATTTAAGAACAGTAATTGAAAGTGCAGTATCTCAGAACCTCCCTCTCTCAATCATCTACCCGATTGAAAGAGATACACTAGTAACCCATACCCATGGCAGCAGCTAGTACTCTCTTCCCAGTGCTCGCAACCCTTAACCGACTCCAAAAATATGCTCCCCCTATTCCCCACTAACTAACTTGTATGCTGCTTCCTCCCCTTCGCTCTCTTCCCCACCAATTTTCCCTTCCCCATTCACAGCTTGCCACATGTCCATGCTTGTAACTAACTTTGTTTTGCCCTTAGCTTCCTTAACTCTTCTCTCATGGGCCTTACGTTTATACACTTTATCATATGGCTGAAGAGGCCCATCATCTATTAATCTATTTTAACTCTTCATGAGTTTTAAGACTTGTTTTAGTTTGAAGACTTGAATTTTTCAATAGTTTGTAACTTTGAATGGCTTTATTTTGATATAGCTAATGATTTGTATGACTAAAATTTTAGGCTTTTCGAAGAACCGAAAACTGATTCAATCCAAACCGAATAAAATTGGATTGGATTTAAAAAAAAACCATACCAAATAAATGATTAAATAATCAAATCGAGGGGGTTGGATCAGATAATTTTTGCTTCAAAATCGATCCAATCCATAACACGAACACCCCAAGAATCATAGACATGGAGCTGTAATTGGAGAAGGAACCCACATGCGTCCAACCTTTACCACTGGCCAATAACAACTCCAATCAACGCACAAGTAATAGGCTTAATGAAGGACGCAACGAACCAGGCCTAATAGGAACAAATAGACGAAGTGGGTCTAATGCAGCAGGATTGCAAGATACAGCCCAAACCGTAGGGACCCTAAATCATGCAAATTGCCATGTTTCCACAGACAGAAGTTCAGCCACCATAAGAAAAAATGATCCTAACAGTGGGGCAAAAGGGGAACACTTCAGGTGGTTGCCGGAGGTGCTTCATATGTGAGGCGCCTTCTTCACCAAACCAGGCTTGTCATAGCCAGTTAACGTTAATTTTAACGCGAATTTAGATAGAAAAATATAACTTTTTGGTCAATATATATATTCGTGTCTGTTCACAACACAAAGTACGAATAGTAATTGATAATTTTTTTTGATAAGGAGTTAGGATACTCAAACTTATGCTTTAGTGATTTTAATATCTTCTTCTATTTTTTTTTATATTATTAATTTATTTATATATATCTATTTACATTTCTTGTGTGTTTTTCATGTTGGTGGGTACCTATGAACTTGAGCTAAAAAGAGAAGGGTAACTTCTACAATGGCAAAGGCATACAGGATAGCAAGACCTTTTGGTTGAGCGTCCATAGTATTGTAGGTCTCATTTCTAGCCATTCATTAAAGTTGAAGGGTGAGGTTTATGAAAAGAAAATGAAATTGAAGCTACTAATGTGGTCAATGTGCTTCAAACAATGCAACTCGGGAGAAAATTTTCTCACCTTATCTATCCTCTTTCTTCACCTTGGGAAGAAGGTGAGTTTTGGAGATAGAATACTGATGGTCCTGATGAGTTAATTAGTTTGTTGGGAAAATATTCTTAGAAGAGAAAATAAAAGGAAGGAATATATACAGTGGAGTAGGCATGTATTGAGTGAAGAGTGAAAAATTTGAAGATCTATTGGAGCCTAAGATAGATGGTTCTAAGAGTGAGTTGAGATCTTTTTGGTTTATGTATTTGTAAAGAGCATTAATAAATTTGGATTCCATCGGTACATAATTACCATGTCTGCCCAAGAAAGTCAGACACTAGCTAGCCAATACAATCTCATGAAGAACAAAAATATACACCACGAGCAAATCATACGCCCGTAATCAGCCATGTCTGCCCATCGCTAATATAGAAACAGTCAATAGTTTCATGTTTAGTTGGGCAAATACAAATTTTGTTTGAGGAAAATCACAAATTCATAAAGAAAACTATCACAGTTTTTAAGAAAAATTTAAGCAAAATATTAAAGGACTGGAATTTTAATTTAGTCTCAGTTGCCCTTATCCACTACTGATTTGAGCCCAAATCTAACATAACAAAATGGCCCCGTTTTTCCTTCAGAAACGGAATACATAAATTAAAACGTACAAATGCAGTAAAATATGATCCTGCAAAATTTTTTAACATATATTACTTAAAATTAAAATCAAAAACTGCAGTCAGCCATGTCTTCAAATGACAACAGCCGGTTCTCCAACACTTAAATAGAAAAAAGAACACCACATTGATAAATTAACTAGTTCAAGTATCCTTTTCGGTCTAACCATAGGTTCTTATAAAAAAACTAAGACACTGCATTACCTATCTAGACTCCAAATAAACTCCAAAATGATATGGCAAATTGCTAATCCGGCAGCGACTGCAACCCAACAAACACATGAAAGTCGATACATTCTCTAAGCAACAAGAGTGCTGGCGGTTGTTGATTCACTGCAAATGTCAAAAGTCATTAATAGCAGGACAAATGCAGTGGATTTGCACCAAAAAAAGGCAAGATTGGCGTTCAAATTATACAAAGAAAGCATCATGCAGTTGTGTGCACTCAAAACAAAAAATGCATAACAAGCATAAACACTCATTTGAATTTCAATTAAAACTAATAACAAGGCATCACACGTAAGAAATCATACTATTATCAAGTGACAAGTATGGATGGTCTAGTGAACAACACTTCTAAGAATGTCTGTTAGTCTGCATGACAGTTTTTCTATCGTGACACTTGACACCATATCCAGGTAACAAATAGATCATACAGACAAATGGTAAGCCGCATGTATCCAGTTACTTATGCCACCCCCATCTCAGAAATGCTTAAAACACACATTTAAAACAGAGTTGACGGTACATAGAATCTGAACAGATCAAGACTAAAGACTCTATAAAATACTCTAATGCCATGTTCAGATAGGCGGGAAAAAGTAACCCAAACACTCCCTTCGGCATTTGCTTCCTCTCCATTTCCCACAACTCAAAAGCTTCCAACCAAAGCAATAGAGCATAAACATAAAATAGTTTATGCAGCAATCCAAGGAAGTGAATGATGAACAAAAGAACTGCAGATTATTGCCCAGAGCTGTGTTTAATTCAGCTCAAAATGCGTTCATACAGTAAGAGCAAAAAAGGTCATAGTGCCAACGTGCCAAAGTGTATATATCACTAAGCTTGTTCCTAACCAAATGGTTGTCGACTCTTGCACCATACCATACAGACAAGCCACTTAACAAGTTTAAGAAATCTAAAATAGAAAATAAAAACCCTATAATCTACATAAACGTAAATTGAAATTTCAGCAAAAACAAAACCCTCGCAGAGATCCAAAGCTCTTCACACCCCAAGCTTAATACCAAAACTCGGCTATACCAGTAATTTATAAATGCCAAAAACCAAGGTATCAGTAATATCCTTCCAAAATAAAAAAAAACAAAACACTTAACAGATGTCTAAAACAAACTTTCCAGTATTACCACAAGCAATCAAACCAACACTGTAACATCAGTAGAAGTGAAAGACCAATAACAAAGTGAGAAAATAGAAAAAACAAAAGGGTGATGGTAACGGTAGGGTACTCACTACTTCCAAACTGGTGGGAGCTTCTTAGTCTTCTTGTAATAGCGAGCAAGACGGTGGATTCTGCTCTCCACAAGAATCAATCTGAACTTGGAGTCCTTGTCCTTTCTATTCCTCTCCAGATGCTTCCTAATTGAAACTGCCTTCTTGATCAAATGGTACAGATCCTCCGGAATTTCAGGCGCAAGACCTTAAATCATAACCACAAAACATTCTTATATTAACCTAAAATAAACATTGTAAACGCAATTGCAAAAACAGAAAGTACAAACCGTGAGCTTTGAGGATCCGCAGGATTTTGCTGCCGGTGACGCTCTTCACCTGAGCAATACCGTGAGAGTCTCGAAGAATGACACCAATCTGCGATGGCGTCAAACCCTTTTTCGCGAACTTGCAAATATTTTCTTCAACATCTTGCGAAGAGATCTTGAGCCAACTTGGAGGTGTCCTCTTGTATGGCAAAGCAGAAGAGGATATACCCTTACTGAAACCACACACACATACACACACAAAAAAATTGTTGGTTGTTAGATTGAGATAACAAATTGAATGGTGTAAGAGAAGAGAGATGTGAATACGGTTGGAAAATGCGAAACGAACCCCCGGCTGTGCATACGACCCATGGTTGCTGTCACTCGATTAGGGTTGCGCGGCGCTGCTTCTGGTTAGGGTTGCGATGCTCTTCTTCGGAGACGACAACTACGTGAAACCCTACTTCTGTGTGTGACTTGTGTAGCCTTTATAAAAGAACCCGCGAGCTACGTCGTTTTATAAAAACAAAAACAAAAAGTGAAGGTTTAATATTACGTGCAAAGATATTCTAATAACCAATTAGTGTTACTGACAATATTATTATCAATCAATTTTATCGTTAGATCAATTATGTTGATCAACGGTTATATTTGTTTTCATCTTTGTATGGTTATGATTTTTTATATTTAATACTTTATATTTATTTTCACCTTTGTATGGTTATGATTCATCATATTTAGGATGTGCAAGACAACCTTTCCGGAATTAATTTTTTTTTAATTTCTGTTCCCGAGAACATAAATGGATAGAAAATTCATTTGGTAAAATCGGTTTATTTTTTTGTTCCCGGAATGAACCGGTTTAATTTTTGTACTGGGGAACAAAAAAAAGAATCAAAAAAATTTCTGCTTGCACATTAAATATGGGGAATCATAACCATACAAAGATAGAAATAAATATAATCGTTGGATCGACATAATCGATCTAACAGTGAAATTGATTGGTAGTAACATTGGTAAGTAACACTAATTGGTTGTTACAATATCTCACCCCAATAATAATAGAGAAAAGTGTTTGTTATTCTAAATAACATAAAGTTATGTCATTTTAAGAGAGATAAACATAAAATTATATTTTTTATTTAAAATTTAAATTAAAAAAATCACTCACCTTCTCTCCCATGATTTTTATTCCTTGTGTCTATCTCTCTCCTAAAATGACATAACTTATGGCTGAAGGATATTGTGACAACCAAGTTGTGTTACTACCAATCAATCTCACCGTTAGATCGATTATGTTGATCCAACGGTTATATTTATTTCTATTTTTGTATGGTTATGATTTCTTAAATTTAAAGTGAAAGCATTAAATATGAGAAATCGTAACCATACAAAGGTGGAAATAAATATAAAATATTAAATTTGAAAAATTATGATCATATAAAGATGGAAATAAATATAACCATTCGATCAACATAATTGATCTAATTGTGAGATTAATTGGTAGTAACACAACTTGATTGTTACAATATCCTTCCCCATTATTATTACCATGTTTTCTTTTGCGTTTTGAGTAATGAGTCTTATCCAAAATCTTTAAATAATACTTTCCCGTAAGCTCAGTTTATCGTTGAAACTTTCTGGATATTAGTTATATTTACAAATTTTTTATTTATAAATTTTTACAAATTACATATATGTTCCAGTACATTAAGTTACACTATGCACTTCCAGGAATATTTAATGTAATTTGTAAAAATTTATAAATTCTACCCTGCATAATAGAGTGTAAAAAAAATTGTTGTTAAGAAGGATGAGCAAAACATATAATACCATGGTCAATTAATTTTTTCAAAAATAAAATACATAATTTTTGGTTCATAAAGCACAATATTTCTAAGGGATTTGCATTTATCATTTCACATGACACAAGAAAGTTTCCTACACACACAACATTTTGTGGGACCCACACTTTTTTGAAGCAAAAAAAAAACTACGACACGCAAAACGAATCTCTATAACATTACACAATCATTTTTTCTACAACATAACTTTTATAAAACCCTATTTCTAATGGTTGAATTTAATATGGATTTATGCATAAAAAATGTTTATACAATCATATGTATAATAAAGAATTTAATAATCATGTTTTTTTAAAAAAAAAATTGATTAAACTATTCTATACAATCTTTTTATTTCACTAATTTTTTAAATTCGTCTCCATAATTTAAAATTTTATATTTGGTTCTATGAACTGGTGAAAATTTGTGATCGGGTACAATTAACCCGCCATTCATTTTAAAAATGTTCTCGAAATAGATTATATGAACTTAGAGTAAAAAGAGGTCATGTTTATTCAATCTATCGATTTTTTTATTTTAACATGCAATCGGTTATATTCTACATTCAAACTCAATATAACCTAAAGTGGTTTGAAATAAATCAGTATTTTAGTTTTACCAACTAAAAAAATCAGTTTTTTAGTTTTGTTGTTTTTGTTTTTTTAAGAGACAATAATTATACCATGAATTATACAATAAATATAATAAAAATTAATTCCAAATATCAAATATCTAATCTCTTAAGTCATAACTGATATTGGTAAAGTTAATTTCATATGTAAATTATTAAATGAGAATATACACAAATGCCACAATCTTATTCATGCTTCATTTCATTTTAATGAAAATATATGATCAAACAAGTTATGATTATTTATATTCACTGATACGGTTAGTGACAGGGCAAGGAGATTGAAGAGTGCCCCCATTTGGGCCTCAGACTTCTTAGTTAGTTACAATTGTAACAGTATATACGTAGCTGATTGTAACTGAGATAGTCATTGAATAATAAATCGGTTCTTTCCTTGTTACTTTTTCCTCCTTCTTAGAGCCACGCTCTATCATTGGTGCTTTCACTGGCTTCTCCGAGAACTTCCACCATGCGGGTGCAAGATCTTGCAGAAGAGTTTGGGGCTTTCCAAGCGTGTATGGAGCAAAGGTTAGATGACAATCAAGTGCAAATCGCTGCTTTCAACAATCAATTGCAACAGATTCATGCGGTTTTGTTGGGATTGGAAGGTCGTGTTCGTGACCCAGGGTTGCCGAAGGATCAATCTCCTTCTTCGAGTGAGCCACGCATACAGAAGGATCCACATTCGTCAGATACACCTGAGGATTTGACCAACAACAATGGGAAAGGAATTGTTAGGGTTGACCACAACGACCCACGCTCCTTCTTCAAATTTGTTCGCATAGAGTTTCCGGCATTTCACGGCGTGGACCCGCGGGGGTGGATCTTTAAAACATAGATGTTATATGATCTGCAAATGTACCTGAAGAGTATAAGGTTCGGTTGGCAGGACTCAAAATGGAAGGGGCTGCCTCACCGTGGTATCAGTGGCTTTACAAAGGAGGATCCTTGAAGTCCTGGACGGCCTTTAAGACTGCCTTGTGTCAATGATTCGGTGCTGAATCTTACATGGACCTCAAAGGGGTTCTTTCTAAACTTACACAAACAGGGGCATTGCAGGAATATATTCGGGACTTTGAAGCATTAATCAATCAGGTGACCGAATTTTCAGATGAGGTTCTTGCTAGTTTTTTTATTTCTGGATTGCATGCTGATTTGAGGAGTGCTATTCAATTTCATAACCCCATTTCTCTGCATCAAGCCATGCAACTGGCAGTGGCATATGAGGCTCACCATCTGGAGCTTCGCACTTCGTTTTCTGCAACTCTTAAGCCATTCTTTGCACGACCGACGGTGGGGGATACTAAATTGCTTCCATCACCTTCAGGGGTTCCAACCAAGCCCATAAATTCTGTACCAGCATTACCTGCTTCCAATCTTCCTCAAATGAAGAAGTTGTCCCATGAATATCTTCAAAAACGAAGAGAGTTGGGTTTCTGCTATCACTGTAATGAGAAGTGGAATATGCGTCATAAGTGCCAAGGGAAAATGTTACTGTTGATTGGGGAGGAGGACGATTTGGAGGATCAACCAGGGGAGCAAATTGTTTGGCAACCAGAAACCAGGAATGTGGAGATGATTGATGCAGCTTTACACTCAATGGTGGGGGATGCCAATCCAAGGGCCCTGCGGTTTTCTATTCCATTCAAAGGCACAACAATTCTTGTTTTGATTGATTCAGGTAGCTCTCACAACTTTATCAATAGGGAGTTAGCTGAAAATTGTGGTTTATCCATGTCCAGAACAAATAGAATGAGAGTGTACTTGGGAAATGGAGAGTTTTTGTTGTCTGACAAGAAATGTTTGGATGTTAAACTCATGATTCAAGGTCACCAGTTTACGGTTGACTTATGGGTGGTTGATCTTCATGACCTGGGAATAATTATGGGTATTATGTGGTTGGCCAGGTTGGGTAGGGTGATACATGATTATAGTAGGTTGACAATGGAGTTTGAGTGGTGCGATAAGTTGGTTGTGTTAAAGGGGGATTCTTTTCCAAATCAACATCCGAATTTGATGTTTCATTTGGGAAAACAGCAACAACAAAATTCAGAAGTGGAAGTGATGAAACAAAAGGTGTGCCCAGAATTGTGGGAGGTTTTAGTTGCTTTTGAGGCAGTCTTCAAGATTCCTCATGAGCTGCCTCCATTTAGAGGCTGCAATCACTCAATTCATTTGGAAGATGGTGCTAAATCAGTATCAGTCCGACCATACAGGTATGCCTACCATCAGAAGGCAGAAATTGAGAAACAAGTGGCTGAGCTATTATCTTCAGGTTACATTCGCGAAAGCAGAAATCCATTCTCTTCTCCAGTGCTGCTAGTCAAGAAGCAAGATGGCACTTGGCGCATGTGCATTGACTATAGGCAGCTCAACCACATTACAGTAAAAGATCACTTTCCAATTCCTACCATCGATGAATTGCATGGGGCTAGGGTGTTCACAAAGCTGGATTTACGTAGTGGCTACCATCAAATCCGGATGAGCCCAGATGATATATTCAAGACAGCCTTTCGGACCCATGAGGGTCACTATGAATTTTTGGTTATGCCATTCGGCTTAACTAATGCACCTTCCACATTCCAAGCTGTCATGAATCACATGTTCAAGGCTTACCTTCGCAAATTTGTGATTGTATTCTTTGATGACATCCTTGTGTACAGTGCATCTATGAAGGATCATATTGTTCATTTGAGGACTGCACTACAGTGTCTTCTGCAGAATGAGTTTTATGTAAAGATGGGTAAGTGTGCCTTTGGTGTTTTTGAAATAGAGTATTTGGGCCACTTAGTTTCGGGTGCTGGAGTTAAGGCGGATCCAAGAAAAATTTCTGCCATGCTTCAATGGCCAGTTCCCAAAACATTGAAGCAGCTAAGGGGATTCTTGGGCCTAACAGGATATTATAGACGTTTTGTTAGGCAATATGCCACCTTGGCTACTCCATTGACGGATCTCCTCAAATGTGACTCATTTCAATGGTCACCCGAGATGGAAGATGCTTTTTTA